GAGCGAGGAAATTTGCAAGAAACTATATTTACGAAGCTCGTTCCGGAACATTGACCGACGGGGAGAGAAGTTACACCGATGGAAGCCGCTCGGAGGTGTTCCGGGAGACCGCAGCGGCAGTTTTTCTTTTCTGATGTACAAGCAAGAACCTAAACGCTTCTCTAAACGTTCTCGCTCCTTGTTGCATACATCGACAACGGACAGGGACGATGCTCAGCGCGATCCTTTTATTTCTACTGGTTTATTGGATGCCGCGGACGTAAGGACGAAGGACCTAGTCCTTCATGGGAAGGAACGATGCGGTTTCTTTCCGCTTGGACGAAGGAGCGGATAGAAGAAAGAAGAAGAAGGAGAGAGAGAGAGAGAGAGAGAGAGGAGAAAGAAAGGAGGAGCTCCTTTCCACCTTGAAACGGCCACAAAGAATATCGAGCCCTTCCGCTCTCTTCCTCTCTCCTCTTCCGACATCCGCGCGCAGCTCCGACACACAGGAAGTCCACTTTGACATTGTTCGTAGACTATCGACTGCGCTCACAAAAAGTTGCCGCCTTCATCGGGCAAGAGCCCGATATTTTTTCAAAAAGACTCGCTGGTACATGCATCACAGCGATCTCGTACGTAATGCCCGATATTTTGCGAGGTGCGACAGGTTTATGAGGCGGAATTCAGTCTCCCGAACAGTTCCTCAGATGTTCCCATCAAGGGCAATTAACAGGTCCTCGTCAAATTTTATGGGCCGGCCCAAAAGTGTTTTATTGATCGAATAATAATTATCAAGCCCTATTCTCTGTTTTTCAGATCTTAGTCCTCGATGTGTCCCTTCATTCGTAGAATTTCTACGAGCACATCCTATGTAATTATTTTCGTTGTAATTTCTTTTTCATCTGTACGAGAGACATAATGTTCAGACAAAGTTTTCACTAGCAATCAAAAGAGAAGAATTACAATGCTCCAAAATTTTCATTTTCAATTCATCGAATCACGCACATCGTAACACGATATACTTCATAATTTTATGACCCGCTTCATTTAAAAATCATGCACAGATGGGTCGCAGATCAGTCGCTGCAATGTAATGAGCCATCGTTCGAAAAGTTTAATTTCTCTGTGTGAAAAACCTTGCAAGATATTACAAGAAATTAAATAATATTTAGGAAAAAATGCATTAATAATCTCGTAATTAACTACAAATTATATACATTATAAAATAACTGAAGATAAAAGATACAGAACAAAATGAAAGATAAACGAAATATAGACGACAAAATAAACACATGAAAGAAAAATTCGTTTTTTCAAAAATTTCGAAAACCACTCGGGTTATCTTGATACGACTCTGTGTTTCTCATTTTCTACATTATTTTTTTAACCAATTACCAATTAAGAGCGGAAAGATAAGCGGATATTTTTGAAACTAAGCCATTTCGGATATATGATTAAAAGACATTTTTATTTTTTATAAATTTACGAGAAATATACTTATCTTAAAATTTGTGAAAAATACTTGAAAACTATTCTATCAAATGAGAGGCTATATTCTAAAAATGTATATATGTATACAGTGTCCGCGGTAAAAAAGTTAGCGTATATAATCTATTTCACACTTATTATTACATTAATTAATTTTTTCCTCTGCTTCTTAAAGTATCTAGAAGATTGTAAAAGCGATACGCTTCTCTCGACAATCTCGAAACTGAATCATCGTATTATTATCAATAACGATACGGCGCGCTACGCGTGAAAAAATTTCAAATCGATTGGATTCTCTTTCTCTCGTATCGCTTCGGGAACGAGAGAGGCGATCGTTTCTCCGTGGTGAAATCTGGGCGTCGGCGTCTAGATAAGGGTAAGAGAAAAAGGAAGAAGAATGGATGAGAGGAGGAAGGTGGTGGCGGAGAGGAAAGATCGAAGGAGGTAAATTGCCCCGAGATATTTAATCCCGCGGAAAGGCCGAGGGATCTCTCCTTTATTGGCTCGGCGAGTGAGCAACGACGGGCGAGATAAGTTTCCCGTCGGATCGATGGCCAATCGCGTTAAGCGATTTTCGCGCCTCGTTATCCTTTGTTTCCATCCGGTGGACGGTCGACTGCATCTCGTCGACGACGGCACGATGTCGACGGCGATGCTCCTCCGTCTTTCGTGACGTCGAAGGATCGATTTTATATCGCGCGTTTCTCTCCGTCTTTCTCTCTGTCTTTCACTTCCATGGTCTACGCGAAGAATCGTCGACTTTCACATTCCTCAATGCCAGGGGAAATTACCGAGGGGTAAACTGCGTCCCGGTGAGAGCGACTTCTCCGTACGAGACTTTCCGATAGCGACGAGATAGTGAACGAGAACGATTTTCAATTGAGATACCCCCACGTAACTTTGTACTCGTGAAATCGCTCTCGTCTCTCCTTCTGTCTCTCCCTTACGAGATATTACGAATTAATTAGATGCTCCGAGACCGGGAAAAATCTTTCAGACACTTTACAAGTATACATACATTTATATACAGCAAAATTACGTTTGGTATCGTAAAATATACAAGAGATACTTATTGATAGATTTATATTCGATAACTTTTAAGTGTACTTTAGTGTTCAATTAAACCTCTAAAAAATATAAAAGGTTTCTGAAATTTGTAATCTTTTTCTTGAATTTATATCTAAATTATTTAACTTATGTACCAATAAAATGTAATTCATCAAAAAGCTGTTTAATTAAATATTCGATAATTATTTCACTGCTAAAATTTGTTTTGTTATAAGCAAATGTCATAGAAGTACATATAATCCAAAATTCGAGAAATGCTGTTATCACGATACGATTATTAAAATTTTTGCGATCGTAATTCCATCATAATTCACGCAGTGAAGTGAGAATGAAACGAGAGTAAGGGTAATAGCGAGGCGACCGTCGCTTCGACATCATTGCCGTCATCGTCGCCGTCGTCGTCGTCATCGTCGCCGTCGTCATCGTCGCCGTCGTTGCTGTTTTCATCCACCAGCTCCGTCAACACGGAGGAGCTTGAATTAAACTCCATTTTCATAGAGCGCGCACATCGCGATTGAATTGCCACCCGCTTGGCTTTGCGCGCCAAGTGCTTTCGGAAATTAAGCGACATTGTGCCTTAACGAATGGGATTCATGCGAATATGGCCTACGTCCTCCTGCCGAACGGCCTGGAAAATTTGCCCACCAAGACGCAAGAATGGAAGAAAAGTGGCAGCGATCCGGTCGCATCCCCGGATGCGAAGGGACTGGGAGTCAATTTCAGGGTTCGTTTACAGCCCTTTCGAGAATAACAGCGAAGTTGGCACAAGGTATCCACCTTCATAAAATTACCATAAAATTAACACTTTTAACTCCCTTAATATCTTTAATGATGAAGACGACGAGCTCTGAATTTATTTGCCCAAGGAAAAAAATAAAACGCATATTCCATATTCCGTTGAAGTTTAAAGAATATCTCAATTATAAAAACGTTGATGACATATTTTGCAAGTGTATTATTTATATTTTTTTCTTCATAAAGACCCTTATCAACTGTATAATATAATTTTGAAAAAATGTTCGTTCTGTTACGAAAAAATAAGCTGTTCACGCCGTAAAACGTAATAAAGTAATTAATTAATACGTCTGTAATACGCGACTCCTCTGAAATTTGAATACACTTTAAAGCTTAATTTTACGCAAATTGTATAATCATTAATTATTAATTATTAATCATTAATTAAGGTTTTTATTGTTGCCGTCGTGTTCCGTTGATATATCAAATCGATGGCAATTCATTACAGTTCTCCACAAAGGAAGCAAAGGTATAAGACGGCGAATTCATTGAGAAAGCGAGAAAATTAATACAAAAGACGCACAAAGAGGGCACAAAAGTAAGGGTTCGCCGGGGGCGGTCAAAGGGGCGAATATTCCTCCTTGGAAGGCGAGACGTTATTGCTCCGGTGGCGAGTTCATGGCGGTTAATGGTGGTGGTGGTTTACGGCGGTGGCCACGGCGGTACCGCCGGTCTCGTACCAGGCAATATCTGGTCAGTCACGTAGACTGACCTCAGCACCGGAGCAATAACGACGCCTGTCTGGACGTTTCTCCGTCGCCGTCATCGCGTACGTGGAGGACGGCGAGCGGAGGAGGTTGCCATCATCACATGGAAAACAGCGTTCTTTCCTTGGACTTTCCTTCGGGTGGCATTAGGGTGACGTTACTTCGACACAACGTGACGTCGAATGTCCTGAACGAGAAGAGATTTTTTTGTCGCGAGATGCGCTTTACGAGAAAAGATTTGCCAAAAAATGGTAAAATGCCGTAACAGGCATTTCCCTAATTAGGTATTAAATTGACTTCGTCGTAATATCGCGCGAGTTTTTTTTTCTTATCTTCTCAAAATTCTAAGAGTCTCGTGTTACTTTAATAAACTATAATAGTAACGATTGATATTTGACACGCTTTAGCATTTTTTTTTTTTTTTTTGCATTTAATTAATATCACATACGTTTTTATTTCAAAATAACGCTACATTTACAGAGATAATCTTTTTCAAGAAAATAATATTCTCGAATAAATAATATTCTCTTCGGGACTGAATCGTAACGATTGATATTTGTGCGTATATTATGTGAAATATATTATATAACATGCGTTGTTGCTTTTAAATATTACCATTTAATTTAAACCAGCACTCTTATCGACGTACCTTGTCAATCGCGTGACTATCACATTCATGTATACGTGGGAGTGCATGAAGCACAAAAGAACTTTTCGTGATATAGATAGAGATATATATGTGGCACTCACCGTACATCTTCCCTTCGTCGGAAAGGATGATTTTGCGTCGACCACATGGCGGATATATGGTAAGAGCTTCCTGGAAGCTCTGTTCGATATCCGGCGACCACACACCCTCCGCGTCCGCTGCCGACAAGTCCTTCTCGTCCTGAAATATACGATCGTCTAATCTAGAATAGCTTAAAAAGGACAGATTGCAATTATTGCACGTCAGCTATGCGTCTTTAATCTCAATTGAGCTTCCGCAGAAAAACAAAATAGCGTGCTCTCAGTAATCTCGTGAACTGTAAACATAATAAATATAATAGAAGAATGATGTATGTTCATGACATGACATACTAATTTTTAAATTAAAACTGCCAATCGATCATTTCAATTATCAGTCAAATAAAAAAAAATTACCTTACCTCTAAATAATTATTACTCGTGAAATGACAAATTAATCATTTATGCTCTTATGTCAATTTACGACAGAATGGATTAAGCTAATTCTTTGTATATATTTTAAATAGTGAGTGTGATTATATAATTATCAAGTGATATATATTTGAAAATAAACAAACTTTATGAGAGATTTTAACAAGATATAAATACAATTGTAATACCCGAGAAAAGTTTCGATCACTTAATTCAATTCTACAAATACAATTATAAATATTGAAAAATTTGGCACTGACACAAATGCATGTTCATAGAATTACCTCTAAATAATTATTACTCGTGAAATGACAAATTAACCATTTATGCTCTTATGTCAATTTATGACAGAATGGATTAAGCTAATTCTTTGTATCTACAGTATTTTAAATAGTGAGTGTGATTATAATTATCAAGTGATATATTTGAAAATAAACAAACTTTATGAGAGATTTTAACAAAATATAAATACAATTGTAATACCCGAGAAAAGTTTCGATCACTTAATTCAATTCTACAAATACAATTATAAATATTGAAAAACTTGGCACTGACACAAATGCATGTTCAGCTATCGAGTTCCAACTCGAGCTCTTATCATCTATCAATTTCCGATCAAAAAACTTCTCCATTCTGAGGCAATTCAATTGCGATTCTCAGGCAAACATTCATCACGTTCGTCACGATTACGTTCGTCACAGGAGGGTGCCTTCGCCGCGATGCATTTCGATGACCTGAGCACGTTCTACACGAGAAAAGTTCATTTATCTTTGATTCCACCGGTGATCTTACGCGTGCGATTTATCCTGCCGCATCTATCGCGAACGTGGTCGGACCTCGGAGATCTTCCTCCCTCTGGAAACAAAGGATCTCCAAGAGCCGCGCGAAGCCACGCCTGGAACGTAGCCGTAGAGTGAGTGGACTCGATCCTTTCTCCTTCTCTCTTGCCGAATCGAGAGAATATCTCGCGTTCTCGCCTCCTTCCGTCCGTTTTTCATCTCGCTCGTCCATCGCACGTCGAGAGATCCGCACCCGGTGTACCCGGGGGTATCTTCGAAGGGTGACGACGTTGCGCGAATACGCGATACACGGAAACATCCAGTAGTCCCGAGTAGTATTACTTCGTTGGGACTGGAATTTCAACGAATCAAAAACTTCCGTGCCGCACGAAGAGGAACGTGTGATTCCTGCGTTTCTCCGTGCCGAGAAATGGACGATTAACCTGAGTGTTTAGATACCGAGAAGTGCGGAAAGGGTGAGCGAGGAAACAGGCTTGTCTCTTCTGAGAATCCTAGTCACGTTCCCAACGTTCGATATGTAATATCGTCGCACACGCGATCTAAAAAAAACGGGAAACCATCTCCAGATGGTACGAAAAAATTCTCGATTTGATCTCATCCGCGTCGATCAAGAATTATAAAAATCAATTCTACCGTTATGTGTCGCTCGTATGCGTGACTGAACAGTTTTCCGAGAACATATATATATATATATATATATATATATATATATACGAGTATATTGTTTGTATATAAAACAAAAATAGAAATCTTGCTCTTTCTTTTCACTCTCCGTAATAAATGAATAGAAATAATAAATATTAAATGATTAAAAAAAACAAGTAAAATGTTTAAATGTCTTCATCATCGTTGAAGAAATTACATGCGAAAGAAGGCAAGGAGAAAGCCAGAGAATTAAATTGCATAGTCGTCGTCCAGCTTTGAAGTGGCTACATATGTCTGACCTAAATAAATCCAATTTGCATGTGCCAAAGTTAACGAATTAACGTTTAAATAATTCTGTGTATTTTCATATTCATTTTAGTATTTACTATGTTGTTTTACTTACATAGTAGAATATATTTCAAAATGTAAATTAGCTCATATAAAATAGCCATGAAAGTGATTTATTCTTAAATCGTAAAATTGATGAAGATCGTAAAATTTATTGGAATATTAAAATTTCAATGTCCTTCGTTTGAAAAACTAGTTTCTTTCGACATCATGTAATTTCATTAGTTAATATATACCAAACATAATATTAAATTTAGCATTAATTTACGTCGAAGATTATAAAATAATGTTATAATAAATTATTATTAAATTTCCATTTAGCGATATATACAAAATGCCTTATAAACTCTCTATAATGATTTTAAGATTATTCTTTATTATACATTTTGAAATAACTTTTTCTATGCCAAATTTAAAAGTATGATACTTCGGAAATGCGGAATGCGATTATGCTCGCTCATAGTAGCATAAAATAAGATTGAAGATCGCTGACTGACTCCGTTCAGCAGAGAAAGCAACTCTGTAATTGTTATAAAATTCTGTAATACGATTGATCTTGCTATTAATTCCTCATCGTATTAAAAAATTTTACAACAAATGCCAAGCTGCTTTCTGTGCTAAACGCAGCCGATGAAAAAAGAAACAAGAAAGAGAATCACAACAATTCAATATGTTAAACAAATTATCAGAATAATTTTTAATAATTGTGCACGCGTATTATTATATTAACAACAACGAAATTGAATTATACAGTTCCAAAATATCACTTTTCTCTATCCAAAGTGTATAAGTATTATACATACTCCAAAGATCTTCTCGCGTTCAACACGATGTCGTTGTCAGAATTTGCATAGAACGTCAGAGAATTTTGAGCAAATTGGAGTGAAATAGGTCAAAAAAGGTGTTTCTGCGATCTCCATTTTACTCTAATCTTTTAAAAATCCCAACACACATACATAAATTCTGACAACAGTATCATATTGGACGCAAAAAAAAAAATCTTCGGGATATACTATGATACTTGGGAGCGAATTTGATGCTAAATCGTGTTAACATGACACAAATTGATAAGGACTTGTTAACATTCTCTTTTATAAATCTTATACAAAACTCATGAAAAACTGGCAAAAAAATTTAATCATTTCCTACCAATTTTTATCAGCTCTGCAAATATTAAACCAAATAACGACTATGTTCACGTTTTACAACGAGAAATTTCACATATTGTCAGCCGGAATTTTTTTGCGTACAATAATATCAAGAGGGTATAACGATAAATGTCGTACGAAAATTTCAGCTCTCGTTAAGAAAATTTCATATATACTTCTATGACATAAGTAAATGCGAGCCGCAGGAAAGCTCGTCCCTTCAAACTCGGGTCGG